AACTCAAAAATGAACGTTGCCAACAAGATCATTATTATTATTAGTGACTTTATTCAATATTATATTTTTGGTACCATATAGAATTCTCAGCACAAAGTATTTCAATAAGTTTCCTTCTCTTGTTTCTCGACCGATCCTTGCGATAAATATTGAGTGGTCGCCAGTTAGATTTTAGCAGTTCGGTAATGGATATCTAAACAATGTATATTCTTTTCGATGCAAGTCGCCAGCAACTACGATGTTTCTGCTCGGGCTCTTTTGTAACTAGTACAGTGAAATGTCATAAACGTTTCACAGACGCACCTGAATAGGTTATGAGACTGATGGGCATAATGATGTGTTAAAACAACCAAGAAAACAGATAACTTGTTGAAATATTCAAATTGCCGAAACGGGTAGCCCAGATATTCAAGCGGGCCGTCATAACGCACAAGAAATGAGGAAAGTACATCCGCATCCGAACAGTTACACTAGCATCAAAAGTGAATCCACTATGTGCATGTAAATAGTCATTCGAGTTATTCCGTCGTTAAGATTAAAAACATCATTTGATCAGTGTCTATAGACATATGTGCATCATAAACAGATCACATAAATAATGCCTTCACAAGTTTTCCCTATTTTTAAATGAATAGAATGTGGCCGATAGTGGAACCTCGAGAGGATGTTTCGTTCTATTTGAGACTCGCCAGCCGGACGTTCCCCCGCCTTAGTATCTTTTTCTCCTAAACTTAGCGCGTTAGTGACCGTGTATACTTAATAGCTCAGAGGATAATGTGTTAGACGTTTAAAGCCAAAAGTGCTTGGTTTTAGTTTCAGTGTGAACACCAAAACTGGGATGCGGTTACATCTAGTCGGTGAATCTTGAACAATACGAAAAATACTTCCGGATACATTCTATTTTTGCAAAAATGTCGCGAGTGATCATTTTTTTCTCATTATTCCATCGGACTAATTTATTAGATTTAATGAAGCCTACTCCCATGAGAATAGATAAGTTTCCATGGCGTAAAGAGATGTTCCATAGTTTGTTACTTTCAATTGTATAAGTAAAAAAGACTATTTATTAGTATACATGAGATGAAATCTGCTGAAGAACTTCTTTCTCAGTCCAGTCACATTGTTTACTTTATACAGAAATGTGGATTGATTTCTGGATGGAAATGTCCTTTTTGGATGGAACGGGGGTTTCCATTTTGTCATTTCCAAATGATACTCTTAATTATATAATGGGGTTTGGTTTTGGGTAATTTGTTGTGAACATAACCAATGATGTGTTTGAGGAATATTGAGATTGCTGCAAAACGTTACAGAATGAGCAGAAAAGGTACCAAAGAATATTAACTTTCGGCTTATTTATCTACATTCATTTGTAAGAGATGCTTACGACGCACCGGAAAAACTAACATACTCTTTTGAACTCATTTAGCGATCTTCTAAACGTGGTATTCAAATGAGGTAATTTACCAAAGTATAAAATTCAAAAACCTAAATTGACATCGCAGAGTATTTTTAGCTGCATACCGAATTCATTGAACAGAAGTATCTCAAAGCTTTCGGCTTGTTGGTAGTGAATATTGTTAAGAAATTACTTTGAAACAATTAACAATTGCTTACCAAAAACCATAAAATCGATTACAATTTTTACCTCACACAGTCTGCCATCTTTAATTATACTCAGAGTTTTAATCGATCCAGAATCAAAAAAGAAGCTTAATAATTCTGTCCTAATTGTATTGTTTTATTGAGCTATTCTGTTGTTGCATTTCTGGCCTAGGTTGGCTTTCACAACGTTTGATCTAACTGGAGAGGTTTTGAGGTGCCTCAATTATGTCCTCCTTGTTTCTGAGGTTCTTAACCATGAGACGCAGAAACCTAATGATCGTCAGGTAAAACTAAGGAAGTAACATGGACATGCTAATTCTCGTAGTAATGCAAGGGCTTGTGCTACATGATAGCTGATTCTGATGTTGCATATCCTTTTTATGAGTTTCATTCTGATAACCAACCAATATCTCAAGTACTTTGAGAACGGAACACGTTTATCTTTTCTTACCTCAATTTAATTGAATCATTTGGTCGATGGTTTCCGAAATGTCAATAAGACATCTTCCGTACCGTATGGCAAATCTAAATTTGCACTGGGGGAAGGGAGTTTATTACACACACAGGAAAGAGCTCACTATATAGTGATACGTGCTTTTGTGGTTACTCAATCAGCATGGAAAACGTTAACTTGTCTTTAATGTTCTCAACCGTCACGGTTTTACTCTTGTGATTTGTTGCATGGTTCTTACCTGGAGGTATTGGTGATCCACTGCTACCAGACACGGAAGCACGTTAAGCGAAAGCTTCTTCTATTCCGTCCTCAACCATTTGAACCATTTGAACCTTCAACAGTTGCTATATGCGTTACATTAAGTGTACGCGGGTACTACGACAAACTAGGATGAAGGCTCGTTTGACGTTATTAAGTTTACTTCATTTATGTAAGTAATACAAATAACTCATAACACACAACTTTGTGCAGTAATATTCGTGCAATGTGAACTGTTTTGGAATTTCCCACGTAATTCAAAGGAAGTTTTACATGCATATGTGAATGAAAAAGCACATACTATACAAGTATTTCCATCGATTCAAGTAAAACTAACTAATGGTAAGTTTGCACAGGAATTTTAAACTTCTACATTTAATTCCGCATCGTAATTTTTGATTAACGTTTTGGAAGTTAAACAAATTTTCATTTGACACTAAGATTTATTTATTTTTAAATGATGAGGTACTAAGTATTCGTTTAATTAGCTATTCGTATTTATCGAAATATTTTTGATCGAGTTCTGGATGATATTGTGAGTGAGAATTTGAGTTATCAGAATAGAAGATGATATTATGTTGAAACTACATAAATATCTTGAGGGTACGACTAGTATTCTAACATTACAATTAGCTACCAGTACCACCTTCTATAATCGAAACCCTTTTGGCCAAATAGAAATCAGAAGTCAGACGAGAAGAGGCAGGAAAGATGTATTTGATACGTTATTGATATATCGAGAGGCGTTCGTTCTTAGCTGACTATTGGAACGTAGGAGCTGTGTCCCACGCCGAGTTGCAACGTGATCTGGTACAGATGTATGACCGAAAGCCTTCAGTTGAACAAGTCCACTTAAACAACGTGGTCAGCATCCAATGTCGAGCACTTAATGAGCTATTGATTTTTGGGAATTATTTACAGCTACAATCTACAAGGTTGAATTAGAAAATGATAAGGTTATAAGACATGCTGGGTGATGAGTAACTTGTGCTCCGTATCGTATTTGAAATAATTGTGCTTTACTGTCTTCCAACTATGGGGCTGGATGTGTTAGAAAGTTTAAGGTTTGCTATTCGTATCAACAAAGTATTGAAATATCCTCAGATGATCATTAAAAAGCACTGTACAGTATGCACATCCGTCAACACTGAAATAAGTGCGAAAAAATACACTAAAACTTGCGGATAGTTTTCATTTTATATGTTTAACTTCGTCTTGCTGAATACCAAATTTTTAACAAGTTCATATGTGCTCTTTGTGTTTGTTTGATCACCTCTCCTTATAGATTCCACTCTTTGCACTGACTGAAACCTTAACATTTTTAACTAATGTACTTTTTTCACGGATCTGCTTTCAATTTTGTTCATTTATTTATCAATTAATAGCGCAAGTTGATTGCTGTTGGATACAAGGCTGAAAATATTTTCTGCAGTGTTAGAAAAGCGACTATTAAAGTAAAATGTCTCAATTAAATTAGCTTATTTTACAGCATGTCATGGATGTAAAGTACTATCATCAATGTCTCATGGTATTAACTATTTAGTAATGACAACTTGTCTGTTCACTAGAATCAAACATATCGTAAACTTTGGAATTTCAGCTCATGAAAATATTTATCCAGTAAACAGTAAATATACCACACTTTGTCTCAGTTGAGCGCAAGTGTTGAAAAATCTTTGATTTGTGCAGAAATTAGTCAGACATTTGATAAGACATTCAGTTGTCCAACCTGCGATGACCTTATTATTTGGGTTGACATTAGCGTAATCTCACCGATGTTAAAATCTTTGAGTAATGTAGTGGTCACTTAATTAGCGATGGGGTTTTCATTACAGATTTGGTTATTTCTCAATCTGTTCTTCATATTATCATAGATCTAATCGATGCAAAAGAGAATGTAAAGTCCCTTCATTCATAGGTAAAAAGAAAAAAGCCTTATAGTTATTAAAGTATGAATCAAGGACTATAAACTTCAAATATAGAATATTAAAATTTAACATAACCACATACTTTCTGAACTCATCTTTTATCGTTTAATCATCTAAACTCACAGCAATGAATCCTCTTTATGTAACTTTAGAATTTTATTAGGAAGAATTATTTCATGGTACCAGGTTGTAATATGCAAAATAATAAGTGAAACCGGCGCAATTTTGATTTTGAGAAGCATATTAGATGGCTGAACTGTGCCTGTTTTCTCACTCGAGCTTCTTTTAATAAATCCATAAGTTCAAACGTAGTATCGCTAAATGTAAACAGTCTAAATCATTATGTCGTAATCATTTTTATTGCTCATCGACGTTAGCCTGATAACCATTGAAAATCAATGTGTAATAAACAACTGTTTTCTCCTACCTCATGACTTTTCAGAAACATACTGTCAGGACCACTCCAAAATTAAACCTTCAGGTCTTTCAGTCACATTGCACCAATAAACATATATATATATTGCTGGCTATTTTTGAATTTCAAATAACTCAGCTAAAGTAAATTATTATATCTCAATTAGTCGCACCTCATTTGTACTTGGCTTTCCCGTGATAACCTTTGATGTCTGACATAAGACACGGTTCAATCATTCACAGTTCCATCGCACCATCATCTTTTTGTTTTAAGCAAATGTGTATAGCTGTAACACTCTAACCACTCACTTTTAGATAATGATTGAGTCCATAACCTTATCATTGTTCGGATTGCAAAAATAATCTATATGTTAAATTAGTTCGGAATTTATAAGAACATATAATTTATGCATTATTGCAAGGCATTTAAACGCGGTTTCAAGCAGTGAAATATGGTATAATTTAACTTCTGATCCAATGTATTGATTACTTTCTTCATCGTCTAACTGATATCAGATAGATAAAAGCTATGAAATATGGTGGACTGAATAAATATATTTCCATATTTTGATACTTATACCCGCATTAAATGTAAATGACAACATACGGATAGAAATAAGTTAAGAAATTGATGAAACGAATCGATAGCTCTTCCATTCTATAATGAAATTTTTTATTAGCACATCTAGTGCCATCCTACCATGGAACGTAGATGTAATCTCCAAACCGCTCACGGGGCGTGTTACTTTTGGAATACTTAATAGGTATCCTATGGTCCACGTTTCCAATCTCATTTCGATCTACAGAATGCTAACTATCTAACACTTCACCATCGGAAATTTCAAATCTTTTTCTGTTAATCACCTTTCAATCATATTCTTTATCTTCAGTCTTTCTTTTTATCTCTAATAGTGCTATTATTATGACTCATTTGGTAACTTGATATTTCTGTGACAAAAGGGTGTGGCAACGTGAACTGGTTCAGGTCATTCTCAAGTTTAACATCGGTTATGACTGACTAACTCTTAATTATTTAGCCACATGAATGATCATGGAACCTTTAGCGAACATGAATCAAAGACGAACAAAATACTACAAGTCTGTTCGGTATGCAAATTTTCTTCTAAATTTCCTTCGTCTAATTTTTGTTCCTTCTCCCAATTTTCAGCTTTACAAGCACCTTAATCTCTCTTAGTTTTCTTTGTTTTCCTTGATTATTGCAACCAACAGTTAGTAACTTTGAAGTGATAAAGCTAGCAATGCACTTTTGCATTTGTTATCTGAATTTTATCATTGATGTTTAGGACTGCAGTTGATCAGTCTTATATTAGCATATCGCCATCCTGTGCGGATTGCCTCAATATTGTCTTAAGTCACAAGTATTATGAGTAAAGATAGATGGTTTTTAGGATCTGAATCGAGGATGTGCGTTTATTCCTATTTGTTACTGGTCAGCTGGATGTATCTGCACCCCACAGTTGATTTCCACTCGGGGACTCCAACCTACTACTGTTCACGCCAGACGCCATGACGTTATCCACTTAGCTAGATCCCGTTGCATAAGCTAGTAGCGATCTGAAGTCAGTGGCTTAGTGGATAACGTCATGGCGTTTGAAGCAGACGGTACTGGGTTGGAGTCTACGAGTGAACACCAACTGTGGAATGCAGGTACATCCAGATGACCAGTCCAAAACAGGAATAAACTTGCATCCTGAATTCTACTGCTAGCCACCATCATCTCTGCTTATAATAGCCCACAATTGTTCTCAATGGCGTGTGTGTATTTACTCACTGTCATTCTCTAGAAACTGACTTTCAAAATCTCTTTCCATCTTTCTTCCTCTTTCTATACTTATTTTTTTCTACGCTTACTGATATCGTTACTACTTCTACCATGTGATTTATTTGGAAATAATTTTATCTCACTGTTGTAATGGAATGCACCAACTTGCACATAAGTTAGGTTCTGCGCATTATATGACTGACTGACTGATTTTTTTATTTATGTTGCTACAAATAACAGGACAATCAAAATATACTCTTCTGTAAAATATTTTAGATTTCTAGATGCACTCCCGTTATGTAAAATTCCTCTTTACTATAAATCGGAAGGCTATACGCACCGCAGTATAGGTTAATATTAATTCTTTAAAACATTTTTCATAAACATTTACACAAATGGTAAAAGCGATAAAATTTTTCAATGTAACTGTTTTCATTTTATTGGGTTTAAAAATAGATTATCCTTTTAAAAACCAAATAAACTAACTTCTTGCTATCTACATATATTGACCTGTGAATAATTTGACAGTTTTAACTTTAATTTATTCTAATCTTATCTCTGTGCAGAAATTTGTACACTCGTTCTCAATGAATATTTTTATCTATCAACTAACACTATGACTTAGATACTTGCACTGAATTAGATGAAGTGGGGTCTGAAACTTTGATTAGATAAGTGGAAAGTCTGATTCTTTTTTATTACTTAATGTTAAAAACTATAACCATCTTCATTCTTTTTTAATTTTAAGAACGAATATGTGAGCTGTGTTGACTATTTCTATCTTTTTTTTTACAATAAATAGATTCAAAACTATGTTCCATTTCATTACTGGCATCTGACAGAAATAATGTCCCCAGTTTTATTCATGGTAATGTTTTAAATCAAGAAAAAGGATATGGTTATTTAACATTCAATGGAACATTATATCATCTTGCTAAAAGTTTTGGTAGTTTAGAAGCTAGAACAGGATTTTATCATTTGAGAATAATAGCTGAAGATTGTTCGAATCCACCAAAGTCAACAAAATCATGGCCAATTACATTTGAAGTAAGTATTTCTTAAGGTGTATAACGATAATTAATGTAACGTTGCATAGCTTTGTGAATGAATAAAATTCATGAAAAGGTACTTAAGCAAATAGTTCTATTTTTGATCAAATCATTTCTAAGGTATACTCGGGTATACATTGTAACTGTATATTTATGTACATATATTTAACTAACGATTATGATTGATGAGTTAACGATAAGAAATGTTGAGATTCCGCAATTACTCATAACTGTAATAGAACAATAAATCAATAAAGGTAAAAATAAAATAATGTAGGAAGTACGTAAAAACGAAAAAAATATTTGAACATTTGAAATTGTTTTGAACTTGTTAAAAACCAATTTTGTGTTAAATGATGGTAAAATGTGGAGTAGAAATACGAAAAGACTTTGTCCAAGTTTAACTACTAGATCTAAATCAAGCACTTTTATAAACAGAGATGAATAATGACTAGCAGTGGAATCCAGGATGTAGGTTTCTTCCTACTTGAGGCCCGTTAGCTGAATTTACCTGTATCTTAGAGAGAGCTTCAACTCTGGGATGTAGATACACCCAGCTGACCAGTAACAAATAGGAATAAACTCACATCCTTGATTCAAATGCTAACCATCATCAATCTCTACTTATAATGCTTGTGACTCAAGACAATATGGAGGCCATCCGCACAGGATGTCCATATGCCGGTAAGGGATTGATCAATTGCAATCCTAAACATTAGTCGGAAGATTCATATAATCAATTCAAAAAATGAATTAAGCATTGTTTTTCGTAAAATGTCTTGTAAATGGCGACAGAATTCTGTTCAACTTACAAATAGTTGGTAGTATTTTGTTCGATATGTGCTTTTTTCTGGTAGCTTTATAAAGCGACATTTGCTCATATGGTATATGAGCTTGAATGTAATAACCATTCATAATTATCCACTCTCTCTAAAGCTTCAATTGTCTGAAGACATACATTATATCTGAGGTTTGAAGTTTTTACATGTTAAATAACTTGCCTTAAATAACGCATGGAATGAAGATTATTCTACACCAGAAAAACTTAAATCGAGAGTGTGAACCACTGGATTGCGACCATAGAGACGGGAAGATTCTTATGTTTTGGATTTGATGCTATGTACTGTCGTGCTAATGGATAGCTTACGAAGTTTAATTTAAAAAGACCAACTGTCATGCTAAGTTTTCGGACTGAGAGAATCTATTCAAAGGTATATAGATATGTTCAGTAGCTAAATGTCACTCTAAATAATTTATTCACATATCTTTGATAATCTATTACACATTGGAATAATAAAAGAATATTTTGAAATTGTTTGCATAAAGCATTATCGATGATATTTGATTTGATAATCTTATACAAATTGAGAATTGAGTGGATTGTTTCTAATACGAAAACAATATATTTGTCATATTTCAATGAATGGAAATTGAATCTCGGATTCTTTGCGACTTATGGTAACTCACTTTTACGAAGAATAAGTAACCTTTCTTAATTAGCGGAAGTTTAGATATTGCAGAGGGATTAATCAAAATGTTTAATACAATTGTGCGGATTGAACAACGTATGAAAAATGTGGTTGCGGTGGAATTTCGTTCTCTAAACTGAATAGTTCAATGGTCAAGGTTTCCATTGTTACTGTGAATAACATCATTAGCACAAACTTTTGGTAGAAGTGAGCTATTGGAGCTATTCAACTTATGACTGATAGCTTGTTTTGTCGACCTTGATTTTGACTGGTTATTAACGATGTACCTATTCAGAAGAACAGTGAAAGCTTTAAAACTAAACTCTTTCGCTCAAAGAACGAAACTCCGTCAAAATCATCGACATAAGCCTCAACGTTTATTCATTATCTAGAAAAAACGTTATATTTGCAATGTAAAAGAGCAGAGCTAATTTGTAAGTTTGCTAAGAAAATGGGTTGGATAGTTGAACCTTCCTTTTTATTGACTACAATGTTGTTCAGCGACATATCAAAAGCTTCAGTCACTCGCTTTCATTTTTAGTTGGGAGAGCTTTTATGAATTATTTTGATATTGTCATTATCGATCTAATGGATCCTGGGAATACCACTTACTGCTGTTACTGACTTAAAATTTATAGCTTTTTAAGTTTCGTAGGATTGTTTGTATGTTTTTTTATAAAGTTTAGATGTTTCTTAGAACGAGTTATGATTTCTTGAAAAAAACTCCCTAGAATCTAGGATAGCACTATCAACACAATTCAGTGCACGAGTGAGGGTATCTTTTCCTTTATTCGAACTAAAACATAAATACATATATTCCTTACAATGTACTGTTTACATTTTAGCATATCCAATCGGATTTACCAATTTGGTCTAAAACAAAATATACATTTGAAATAGATTCATTACATAGACCAGGTTATGAAGTTGGCAAAGTGACAGCATACACATCAGATATAAATATGACAGAAAATAATAATTTTTTATACGGTGACGATACTGGTATGTGCGCCTATACAATACAAGATCCAAGTTATTCATTCGCAATCAACGGGCACGGTAAGTGTACATTGAGTTATTTCGAAAATAATTTTTTTCTGTTTTGTTTAATAACTAATATCTCTATGACATACTTCAATTAAGTTGCTGAAATAAAGTTGGTTTTATTCCACGAAACGTGGCAGTTATTAGCATTTGGTAAATCCAATGTAATTCTTGCCGGTTGAATGGATTATTATTTCTTTAGTATTTCAAAGGATGATATCTTCAGTTAAACTAAGCAGTATAGATAAGTCCAAACTATTGGTTAGGGTTCATGTGGATAGAGACCTTTGATGAAATACGTTTGAATCAATAATGATTACCCAGGTGCATTTACTTTTCATCATAAAATACTCATACATTTTATTCCATATATCAGATCTTCCAGATTCATATTCTTTATGTTTAAGGTTTTTTTTACTATCACTGATATTAATACTTCGGTATTCATCCTTATAACTTAATCTCACTGTGTCCATTAGTTGTAGCAGCTTGAATCAATGCATACATGTATGCCATGTTCTTATTTGTGTACGACTAGAATTATTATTAATCAATTCATTTTTGTAAAATATAATACATTAAATTCACTTAGTATTACTTGTTTGAATCTTCCCACTGACATTTAGGACTGCAACTGGTCAATCTCTCATTGGCATATGTGCATACTGTGCGTATTGCCTCGATATAGCTTTATTTTACAAGCATTATAAGCAAAGATGGATAGTGGCTAGCAGTGGAATCCAGCTTGAAGCGCGTTTCGTCCTATTTTGGACTCGTCAGCTGGGTGTACCTGCACCTCAGAGTTGATGTTCACTCTGGGACTCAAACCCAGGAGCTGAGTGGATAACGCGATGGCGTTTGAAGCGAAAGGCAGCGGGTTCGAGTCCCAGAGTGAACATCAACTCTGAGATGCATGTGCATCCAGTTGAAAAGTCGCAAATAGGACGAAACGCGCCTCCTGGATTCCACTGCTAGTCACTATCCATCTTTTCTTACAATATAATACATTGTTTCGTTTGTTTAAATAATAATTTGTTTCTATGCTGGGTTCAATTTTTTTCGTCTATTTTTTTTAAATAACTTGATTCGTCAGTCTTGTTATCTTTGGTTTGAAACATTGATTTTGTTACTTATTGTGTTACTGTAGTATTTTTCTGTCATTTATTTCTCATGACATTTTGAAAATATATTCAATTCTAAGTTATATAGACATGACTTCATGGAAAGAAATTTAGTCTAAACTATGATTATTTGAAAATGAATTAATGAAATATTCTTTCCAATATAAATAGCAGTTCTAATCCATGAATGTACTTTCAATCAGTTGTTCAGTTATCACTTTCCAAAAATTTTCCTTTTTACAAATTTTAGGGAGTGATTCTTTAAGAAAATTGTCTATTAAGTTCTCTTAATTATGCTAATAATTTTATCAGTCATTCTGAAGTGTCATAAGAGTAATAATTGTTCTCTATATTTGAAGAAAGATCTTTTGATATTCAGATTTTACAAGATATTTCATCAAATTTTAGGTATATTGACTTTAGGTGGTTGATGAAAACAAAATATAGAATAACAATGAAGCTTAAGATCCTCATTATTCAATCCAGTTTTGAATCATGTAAGAATAAGAAAGTAGTAGTTAATAAAGTTGAGGGAGTTTTGTGAAGATGGCTCGTTGGTAAACTCTAGGAAGCCTCAAGAAGGCCAGAAAGAGTCGAAGACATTCCATCCATTCACTGCCAGGGGAATATTCTAGAATGTTGACGTGTAGCTTCCCTATTGAATGGATAAGAATGATCCTCTATGTGCCTATTGGTTGTCCGAAATGATGATTTACTTTCAACCAAAAAACTATAAATACATGAGATTTCTGTACTATATTTTGAAACTGTTTTGAGGAATAAGATTCCTACTTACTAGTCTTCTTTCTTCTTTCTTGCGACGTTGCGGGTTCGATCGTTCAAGTAATCAAGTAGTACGCGGCATAGCAAGAATCAAGTCTCTCGATATAACAAGTTTTTTTGTGAAGATTTCAGTGTTTTCATAGTTGAAAGCATGAGTTAATTAAAGCTAGACCACCAAGGAAAACCTGGAAGCACTGGATGGCTATCCCACAATAGGACGAAGCGGCCATCCAGTGCCTCCAGGTTTTCCTTGGTGGTCAAGCTTCAATTGACTCACGCCTTCAAAAATAAAGTTAAGGAGTTTTTCATTGATTGTCACTAATTTTTGACAGTTTTTTTATAAAACAATTTGTAAAAACGTGTTTATTGGCAGAAGTTACGAAATGAATCTTTCATATGATTTCCTGTTTCATTTTAAACTTCCCATGTCTTTCCTTGGTTCTCTAATACATTCCAACTTTTTTTTACATAAAGTTGCTTTCATATAATAAAATGAAAAGACTGTTTTTATCACTTTGTGCATAATTTCAAACTTGTAAACGCCTAATTACATATACATATATGTATATTTGTGGATATGTGTTTCTGTGTGTGTTCAAATTATCCCCCGGAATATACGGGAATTCTTTAAATCTTTAAACATTACTACTTATTACCAAAAAAAATTGTTTACCCTTGAGAAGAAAAAATTCAATACACCTTGAATTAAAGCCTGTTAACATTCAGTTAACTTTACAATCTATCAATCAAATGTAAACTGACGTATATTCATACTACTACCACTACTACAATGATTTTATGATTTTATCTAGGATGTGAAACATTATTGATAAGCTAGGTTTATTTTATCTTAATTCATACTTGTTTAATTGTACATTGAACATATGCACATAGAACTATAACTTGAAATTGTCACACCTTAGCAACGCTATCAAATGTAGAAATGTAAAAACTGGATACGAAATAAACATTTAAGAAGTTGATTAATGATAAAATTGAAGTAGAATTAATGAAGAGAGAGCTTAACTGAATAGATTTTAATGATCATTCACGATGATATATGCATGATATTATCTAAATTATCAATGTGATGGAGTTAGATTTAAGGGACGGATATAATATAAGCTTTCGCGGAGAATTACGAAAGCCATCATGCAGAAGATACGAGTGTTTATTAACAGTTGTCTACGCAGGATACTTTGGATCCGTTGGCCAGACACTATGACCAATAACCTACTATAGGAGACAACAAACCAGATTCCAATGGAGGAAGAAATCAGGAAGAAGCGCTGAAAGTGGATTGGGCACACTTTGAGGAAATCACCCAATTGCGTCACAAGACAAGCCCTCAAATGGAATCCTGAAGGTCAAAGGAGAAGAGAAAGACCAAAGAACACATTACGTCGAGAAATGAAGACAGACATGAGAAGAATGAACAGAATTTGTATAGAACTAGAAAGGAAGGCCCAGGACAGAGTGGGTTGGGGAATGCTCGTCGGCGGCCTATGCTCCATTGGGAGTAACAGGCGTAAGTAAGTAAGTAAGTAAGTATGATACAAGTTTATACTAGTGAATGGGAGAATTTTCCTCATAGCTTTCCCTAATGTGTCAGAACTAATTTTTTAGAAACCTTGATAAATTTTTATCAAGATATACTTGTGTATTCTTTAAAGTTGAGAATAGATTATTCTTCTTCTTGAGAACATATTGATGTCTATATTCTTTTTGATACTAAACCAAATCACTGTAAAATGGAATTGAATATCGCTTATTAAGTTCTCGAAGCTGAGTTTCATCACAAACGAGTACCTACTAATCAGCTCCTTTGAAAACTTTAAAACAAAGGATAGTCATTCATCTTGCTGAAGAACTTTTTATTAGTATTATGCACTTAAAGCCTGCACATTGTGTCCAAACCCGTGTTCATCATGTCTCGTGATGAATTCTAGATAACTGATTCATTGAGTTGGAAATCGATTGTCTTGACTATTTAATTCTAGTCACTTTCTGATGTAGTGCAATCTTTATGCAACTTCATTCATAAGGAAACTGTTTTTCGATCGCTTTGGGTGTTTGACACTAGAAACCATGGGCTCCCACGAAACCTTTTGGGAAACCATTTCAAAGCTAATAAATGATCAACGTACAGTTATTTTCCATGATTGATATTTTGTGGAAATTTGACAAAGTTTGAGAGTAATTCTGACATCAGTTGTGTTCTATGTTAATTTATTCATCGACCATGTTTATGAAACACCAATTAACATGAAGGGGCTATCAATCACTTTCATTTTGTGGTGAATTTTAGATGTGGATATTCGCAATCGAAGTTAATCCGTTATATGGCTTCCTTGAGCGGATACTTTGGCGCTACTTTTATTTTCTGGTGGTGGCTATCAATCAGATCCAAGACAAATAATTAACCAACATGCTAGTTGAGCAGATTGGTGGTTATTGTAACTTCGTCACTTTGAGGATAACATGTTTGCCAACAAGTTTCAAATAAGGGTGAAGATTATCCTAGAATTTGCTCATAGGTGATATCCATTAGCAGAATACTAGCTTCATTTCCATTTGTTATTGAACTTTAAATAATGACTTGTTATGCTACTGTAGCCAATCATTATAATCATGAATAAATTACACTATCTCCGATTTATCATAGGTAGCTTGATTCCCTTAAGAATGAAATTTAGGTCATCAGAAATGACACAAACAACTCAAAGCACCTAACATACTTCATTATTAAGATATGACAACAATTCATAAAATGCGATCAATTGCCAACATAAAAGTTTGTATTCTGTACCAACATCTAAAAGTCAGTACCAGGAACCTGATAAGTTACACAGTATAGTATAGTTTCTCATATTCTGGACATTGTGATTCACTTAATCTTATACTCTTCATCATAAACCCTATTACCACTTACAGATTGTATACATAAATTCATTTCTAAACTTACATCTTGCTCAATAAATAGTACTAGTTGTTAGTTACTCTTTTATTTTTGCATTTCTAATTAGGTTGTTCAGTTACAGTTGTTTACATAGAATCATACACTATCCAAAATCCAAGTTAACCGGTATAAAATTAAAAAAAGGCAATGAA